TCTCTTCTCTTGCTTTGTGTGACGCAAGGCGGCAGTGTGGCAACTGGAATTGTTGCACATCTGTGCAAAGTTCTACCCTGAAACCATTCATTCATTCACTCAAGGCACCAGGATGGAATCTAATGAGATTTGCCGATGAAACTATTCTGTTACCCCATTCGCTTGAGGGTGATATATATATTGTGCATTAGATTCTGTATTATCCTGGAAACTTCAACAAAATGTTCAAAAGTTATGACTTGAATTGATCCCCTCTATTAGTTTTTATTTTGCTACAGACACCCAGTGTTGAAAACATCTTTGCTGTTATTTTCACTGTAATATCGGTGAGTGATACAGCTATAGAGAATCTAAGTACATGTGAAAAGGTAGGTGAATCTTTTAGAGTATGAAAAGGGACCTACGAAATCCACAAGAACTTTGGGGAAACAAGTAAACGGTAACGAGAATGTTCCGAAAGGTGACATTGTGAATCTAGTTAATTCTGCCGTCATACATAAGTCGTATGAAAAGACGATTGTATACTTGGATGATAGATCATTTACCGAAGTTGCTGAAAAAAAGGTGAGGAAAAGTCCCATAACAGTGGGTGTGTGCCACTAATGAGATTTATCAGTAGTATAATATAGTAGCATAATAAACGTTGCCTCCTCCACTTATCTAGGATGCATCGTTTCATCTACAGGTCAACGGAACGGATGAAGATGTCAAAGTCATAATCAGAGAGTCAAGATATGCTTTCATCAATGCTGAAGTCAGTCTGGAAATCTTCTACACTTAACATAAGGAACAAGATTCGGAATTTCAACACCAATGTCAATTCGGGTCAGAAACTTGCACTGCGTGTCACCAAAAGGATTTCCAACAGGTCGCAGACTTTCATCAACAGCTGCCACCTTCGCTGCCTTCGCTCCATACTGTAGATTAAATGGCCGGCCAGAAAGAATTAGTAACAAGAAACTCTGGGAACAAACCAACCAATAGCCAATCGTTCAACAAATATGCATGAGAAAATATAAATGGATCGGGCATACGCTGAGGAGGCCGCCGAATGACATCACACGCCAGGCCCTCAAGTGGAATCCAAATTGGAAGCGACGAGTGGGTCGTCGGTGCGAGGGTGATATGAGGGAGATCGTGTGAGGAAGAGATGAGAGATTGTGGACAAACGTGGACCCAGATGAAGAGGACGGCAGAAAAGAGAAGAAAGTGGAGATGTGTAGCTGAAGGCCTATGTTCCACTCGGAACCCAAGGGAATAATAATAATATGAAGAAACGTTCATTGGCATGAAAGCATCAATTAGCAGGAAAATAGATAGATTTAATGTCAGGGAAAGCAATGATACAGCGTTGTGGAGATTCATAGGAGATATTAGTGTAAGGAACACAAAGAAACACAATATGAAGAAAAGGTATACGTAATTTGGCTATATAGACATACCAAATCACACCTTCCTCGTCTTCTACCGTTACTATTAGTGTTTCTGCCAGGAACTGAGTCTTGTCGAAACACCAAACACGATATTGATATTCTGTCAACTCATTCATTTGCAGATGCTTGTGCAAATAGAGTTTATGAACACGATGGTTTCCACCTCTTACAAATATTAACCTCAACTCCTTTAAAACTATCTTTTGTCGGTACCATTATCTTAACTCGTTTCATTACTATTATTATTATTATTATTATTATTCAGCTTGCAATTCCTGACATTTTCAAACTGTCTCTCTGATGACTAATTGTTCATTACAGTGATGTAACTGAACTGTAATCCATTATGATTTTAATTTTCAATCTTCCATACCCCTTCCACCCCTTATCTTACTGAGCCTGACCTGTAAAACATTGGTATCAGTCGTTTAGCATGTTTCAATCATACTGTTATCAATGCTATCTGTAATCAAACTTGAATCTAGTTAAATATCTGCAGACCAAAATTTGGAAATTAATCTGATGATTACCTGTGACTGAATACAAGAAGATGCCTAGAACTTTAGTGAGAAATCTTGACCTTTGGGTGTGGGAAGTAAAAAATTCCCGATGGATTTGGCTCGCAGTGAGACTAAATTCGCGAGTTGCTGGCAGTTAAAGTTGGTGGCCTGGACAATGGATTCCAGATTTCATCCCGGTGGCTGAAGGTTCTGTGTCCGATCATCTGCTGTGCGATAATGGATGCATCATACTGGACAAAACAGCTGCCCAGTATTCCCGCCTAGACTTCAGTGGCTTCTCTAACTGAAGTCAGTCAGTTCGTAATTAAACTTGTAATAAATCAAATCCCTACAAAATAACTGGTTAATCACCCTATGTGTTCCTCATAGGGCTGATAGAACACTGTATGTAAAGTATTTAACAGCTGAATAGTTCCACCCTATTTTGGGTGAATTTATTCAACCTAACTTTACTGATAATGCAACAGCAGAAGGCAAGAGACGGAAGCCAACGTATATTTTCAAGTGATCAAACTGCCGCTTATATTCGTTTACCAATCACTGAGCGTATGATTTCGGTTTACACCAAACGACATGAAACATAATTTTCAAATAAATACATAGTATTCTGTTGCTAATGCCGTATTGAACGGTGAGAATACATGAGAATAATATTCCATTGGAACACATTGTCTGTATCACACCACCACAATAGCATTCATAGCTTATTTAAAAATTCATATCGGCAAAATGAACGCTTCCGAGTTTCTAAATCTAAATTCGACTTCATTTTCACAATAATAACAATCAATATTTATGCATTGATTAAAGATGGTTAAAACAAAAGTTGTCAACGAACAAATAAGTTCAGCTTCTCTGGGTGAATTCCGACAACTTACGAAAGCGTAAGGGAAAAACTAAATTAAGCTTAAAGCGTCTTGTTAACATCGATTTTGTGTTTAGGATATACAAAGTGAGCTAAAAGAGAGCTGCGAATGAACGTTAGTTGTCCACCGCTTAACCATTATGCAGAATGATGTTCGAAAATCTAGCGATAAACATGTCTAATGCTTTACCTAATGTAACTGGCTTCTCAGACATGTTTATCCTACAATTTCTGAATATCATCCTGCGTGGTTAGACAGACGACAAGGTCTATATGCAGCTCTATTCTAACTCCTCTGGTAGATTCTAAACACAAATATGATGTTAACAAGGCTTTCTGAGGCAAAGTTAAACAATAGCGTCCCAGAGGGTGACTACGAACACTCCAATGACCCTGAACACATGCTAGTCGTCGGCTAACTACAACTGTCATTATTAGAGTGCAAATATGAACGATATTCACCAACTAAGGAGAAAATTTCACCCAGATCACGTTTCTAAGTAATCTTTGAACCATGTGTTAGTAGCTCGTTAAAGTTGGGATCAGGGTTAAGGTAAGTATTAGGATTAGGATCAGGGTTATAATTAAGGTTAGTGTTACGATTAGGGATAGATTTAGAGTTGGTATTATTTACTTTAATTTGTTTTATTATCCACATTTTCCTAGCAATTAGTCGTAGATTCCCTTACTGGAAACTAAAGTAATTCAATCGAGGGCTTTTGGGTAAGACTACAAAACAGGATAAGAGCGATAAACACAGCACAGAAAAGCTCACCTTAAGTCACCTCGGTGACTACAAATGTACAGAAACAGGTCTAAATTCAAAACTGATACTCCTCATCAAAATAAAGAGCTACTCTCAGGTTGTGTCAGAGAAAATATCCTCTCTAATGTATTTCCATGCATTTTCTTGCAAATAAACGTCATTTTTGTACAGAAATCATTTATATTTAATGCTTCGTTGGCTCAAAATTATTCGTGCATCCGCACCCTTTAGGATGCTGTCGTTCAACTTTGACGCTGTCGGAACCCACCCTAATAAGCCTAACTTTTGTGTTCAAGCGCTTTCCCATCTTTAATCAGCATCGTTTTAACTGTTCTCTTTAATTGTCACAGAAAGTTTTGGGCGAAGTTCAACAGTAGCGTTCCAGGAGTTTGAACGCTCTAATGACCTTGAATGCATGCTGGTCGTTGGCGAACGGCATCTGTCATTATCATAGCTGAAATATCAACGCTATTCACCAACTTAGGAGCAAATTTCAACCAGATCACGTTTTTAAGTACTGTCTCGACAATGTGTTAATAGCTCGTTAGGGTTATGATTAGGGTTAAGGTGTAAGTATTGGGGTTAGGGTTAGGATCAGGGTTATAATTAGCATTAGGGTTAGAATTACGGTTTGAATAAGGGTTATGCTTAGTGTTAGGATTAAGGTTAGGTTTAGTGTTAGGACCAGGATTAAGCTTACGGTTACAATTAGAGATAGATGTATAGTTGATGTCACTTATTTTAATTTTTCCTGGTGAGTAGTTGTCTACTGCTGGAAACCATAATAATTCAACCATGGGCTATTTCGGAAGATTGCAAGCAGGATGAGAGAGATAAACGATTCACAAAAACAGTTTATCTGTAGTCATATCGGTGAATATATATGTACAGTAACTAGTCTAACTTAGCAAATGAAACTCCCAATTATAACTGGGACGTATTTTTAAGTCATGTGGCAGAGAAAGATAACCTGTTTAGTAATGTGTTTTCATGCATTTTCTTGTAAATATACGTCATTTTTTGTGTGCGAAAGTCGCTTATTTTTATGATTGATCGGCTGAAGGTCAGTCGTGCGTTCGCATTCCTGGGACGCTATTCCTGGAACTTTTCCCCTTTACGTTCGCAGTGGAACATAGGGCAGCTTCAAGCTAGAGGCTTGAACTGTTCTGTAGCAGTGGTGATTATTTTTACAGGATGGGATTGCTACCCAGCCTCATAGCTAGCCTTTCCTCTTTACCATTCTTACTACTGGCTCAGCAAAGTAAAAAGGCGTGAGTTTTTTCGGGGATCGAACCCCTGACCACCTGCTTGGTCAGCGAGTGTTCTACCGCTGTGTGCTACCGACGCACACTTTTGGGCAGTAATCAGTATTAATAACCCATAGAATATACATATATGATAAACATTGAACTTACCAGTTGTAATTCTTCCAAGGTGCCTAACCAATCATCAAGTTCAGAAAGATCTACATCCATGCTTTAATTCAATTGCATTTAATCCGTTTTCATATGGGTCATTTTAAGAAATTAAGAAATTTGTATTATAAATATATATATAAATCCATGTTTTCAACATTGATTAAGTTTTCTGTTCATAATATAAGAATACTACTAATATCCATTCTACCGTTTTGACAAAAAATATGAAGAGCAAATGTGGTGAATCCAACTTTGTCTACCTAATATGTATGTGATAGCAAATAATAAAATAAGGTAAATAAAACTGTCTGCCAAAATAGCAGCAATATGCAGCAGTATGCAAAAATTTTCTAACCAATCACAATCAAGGTATTGACAAATATACATACAGAAATTACAACCAATCAGCTTTTAGCAAACAAAAATCTATAAAGAACAATTTGATTGGTTGACAGAGACAATATAAGATTACACTATACATACAATACTGGTTAGAAGTGATGCTGTCTTCCAGTCACTTTAGTTAGTTAGTTAGTAAGTACTTCAAGGTCAACAAGTCAGATTACGCACGTCAAAGCCAGAGAAATGGTATTGTAGCCTTTTGTTTCGCTGTTATTTTGACTGTTTTTAAAGTACCCGTTAGGAGTTTTGAGAGATTCGTTCTAGTTAGTAATAGTCAAGGAATATTCTCGTTCTCAACAACTTCAAGTTCTACAGATGCAGGCATCCATAACAGTTAAAGAATTAATGTTTATTCCAAAACAGTACTTCTGATACAGTGTGGAATTATATGCATTTGGTACAGTATTATTGCATCTAATTTACTCGATAATAGCTAAAAACGTATACGTTTCCAAGACTGATATAAAAGCTGCTTTCTTGGTATTTCCGGTGACAATAAAGTCAAAAATGTACAAAAGAGTATAAAATAATGACGATAATAATGTTAATAGTTAAAAACTTTAAGTTAATTGAAATAGTTTAAGAATCCTTAATTCTTAATGAACGAAATATCTCAATATTGAGTCATAAGAAAAAGGCACAAACAGCGAAGAAAATTTTCTTTTCGACGATTCATTTTCATGAGCTGTACAATCGTAATTGTAATTAACAAAGAAATCTGTAGACCAATCAGATACTGGTAAAGATTTCTTTGTTAATTATAATTACGATTGTACAGCTCATGAAAATGAATCGTCGAAAAGAAAATTTTCTTCGCTGTTTGTGCCTTTTTCCTTAATTCTTAATAAAGCAGGAATTAGAGTGGCATTCAAACCTACAAACTCACTCAGAGACAAACTTTGTAGGTTAGAAAACCCGGTGGAGCCAATTAGAGGGGTCCTTCCTCGACGGGCAATGTTAGCTGACAGAGGGTCAGGTTAGAAAAGAGCCAGTGGTGGTCAAACCAGAATACGTCATCTGTCAATGAAATCCACAACAGTTAGTTTAAGCCAATTAGGAAGGTGCAGACTTCCTGGTTGAGGTCCTCGGGACGGTAAACACCAATGAAGGCTGGAGACAACTGGTGATATGGCTCAAAATCGTTCTAAATGGATAGCGCAGATGCATCCACTCCTTGTGACTTATAATATCCAATAAAACTATTTTGTTCTTCGATGTTATTATTCTTTTTGCCTCACATCTCTGTTTACTCTCTCTCTATTTTACCTTTCTTTTTACTTTCCTGTCTTGCTTTGTGTGCTACATGAAGTGTGGCGACTCGAACTGCTGCACACTGATGCAAAGTTTAACATTGAAATCAGACAGATAGACAGATCCCATATAATCAATCAACTGTCATGTTTTCTCATGTTACTATTCTTTCTCCCCCCCCTTCCTGTACATTTTCGCTACCTTTCCGTGGTATGTGGAGTCCTATTACTTGAACTGGTTGGTTCACTTCTATGCATGTTGAAACTCAGTCTCAGTCGTTGAAGGCTATTCACCAGATGGTGAATGCAGTTAGGAAAATTCATGCTTTTGATTTTGAAAAATATTTTTAAAAAAACCATCATTTTCTTCAGTTCTTTTCAAAACTAAACTAATTTTGTATATGAGTTAGAGAACCACTGGAAAACCTGCAGGGAGTACTGGACAGCTGTTTCGTCATGATGAAATCCTCCATCTAATCAAACGAAATCCCTTAAAACCAATACTCAAGAATTAATCTGTGGCCCACTAACGACTGGACCTATTCAGGCAGTTACCTGGGGTTCTAGTGGGAAGCCGTGACCAGTAGGGTGCAGCAGGTTGAAGATGAGGCAGTAACTCATCGAAGAAGAAATTGCGAAGTGGTCGCGCTATATCATGAATCGGCAGAAGTTAGAATTCATGGGTTGGACATTGGATCGGGTCCCAGTGGCTGGCCTTGTAACAATAAGCTCCTGGGTTCGAACCCCAGTGGGTGTGTGCTGTTGAAGTGTCCCAAACCAGGTGGACGAAAAAGCTGTCCAGTACTCCCTCGTAGTGGTTTTCCAATGCTTCTCTAACTGATGTCAGCTCATGATGAAATCCTCCAGCCAATCAACGAAAAAATCCCTAGAAAACCACTACATGGAAAATTTATTTTGTATTCGCATAAGTAGTCTTTGTGAATAGCTTTCAGAAGTAATCGGGTGAAAGAAAGCCATTAATAATCAAGTTGACAATCGACTCGATAAGTTAGAAAAAAATCAAAGTTTTCTAAAAACAAATACAAATGTGGCGTTAACTGTGGATATAAGACAAATAGACACAATTATGACGAAAAAACGTGTAGCCAAAAACGAAAAAAAATTCAATATCCGGCTAGTTAGTTATTCATTTTACATTTATTTATGCAAAAGACGTGACATACCGACAGAATGTCTATATATATATATATATATATATATACATATATCAGACTGTTAATTTCAGTTTCCTATGTAAAATAGAAAGTTAAATGAAGCTGTTAATTCCTATGGCCGTTGCAAAATTGATGATACTGATATAGACACCAAGTCTGAAGTTAAGTATCTTGGATTAATTCTTTCTTCTGATCTATCCTGGTCTTCCCATGTCTTAACGATTTCTAAAAGAATATTTCGTCTGACTTTTTACATTATGAAGTTAAGGCACTCAGGCATAACCCAACCCCTCCTCTTACAGTTTGTCAACTCGTGCATCTTACCTATTCTTCTCCACTGTTAACCCTTGCTTACTTTTTCCCCTGGGTTGCTTAAAAAGACTATGTTATACTTCGTAGAACTCTGAAGACTGTCCGTAGGGCGGGTCGTATCTCATTGGGCTATATCGTTGACATCATCACTGAGGATAGGCACTTGATTTCATGCAACAAATTTGCTAAAGGAATTCTGTCAAACTGTGAGCATCCCCCACTTTACCCACAGCTTTCACTTTGTGTCTCTAACTTTGTACCCTGTATGGACGAGGTGAACCAATATTGAATTGTTGACAGTCTTAGCTACGCCTTCATTTAACCACATTAGTAGGTGTTCCTAAGTACGAAATACTGATTTCCTAGGACAAAGGCCAATACAGGTGCAGCTGAATTTATAGTGGTGGCTGGTCTAAATACTTCGTCTTTCAGCTGAGGCATCAAAATTGTTGGTCATATGGAAAATATGAGCTGCAGCTTACTGGGATTAAACTTTATGGGAATAGATTTTCTCAACTTGTTGGTTATTAATTAATTTGGTATGTTACGCCGACTTCTGCCTCGTTTTCTAATTTGCAATTAATCATCCCCTTCTAGGTTATACCTTACATCACATAATACGTTTTTGAGGACAAACTTTACCAGGATCTGATTGGTCTTATGAATTATTTGTTAAATTTAATTACGATTGTACAGCAGCTTATGAAAATGAATCGTCGAAAAAAAATTTTCCTTGCCTTTTTTACGTCATTTTCTTGGCTAAATGTTCGGTGCTGAATGTTTCAGGGCAGCTGTTTTCAATTAACTTGTCGTACACAACCTTCTGTTTGTCTTCAATTACATCTTATCAACGAATAGCTGTGACCCGATAAATGAGGGTCTTCACTGAATTTATTTTATACTGATGAGGAACAAAGCTGTGAAAATGTGTATATTGTCGCCTGTCCAAGTATTTTCCTCATTCTGATTCCTTTTTGTTACCACCGTCTGGTCTTCTTGTCAGTAGGACGTGTAAAAGAGCAATTTTACTTTGGTGTTTTTCTTCATACGTGAATTTGATAGCTGAATAGACTTCATTGAAAGGAGAGATATTATTGTGCACCCCTGTCCAGATCATTTTCATTATTACAAAGAATGAATTCCCTGGTGAACCTAATTAGACAAAATAATATAATTTACAAAATACCTTGCAATGACTGTGAGTGAGGTCAACTACATAGGTCAGTCAAACTAGTAGATCAGGAGTAGTGAGACTGCCTGTCAGAACATAAGAATTTAGCTAAGGTTAGAATGATTGATACCACGATGATAAGTAATTTAGAAAAACAAAATCAGCTATCGCACTGCATGCATTAACTCACAACCACACAATAGAGTGGGAGAGAGTCCGAATTCTATGAAGTAATATAGGTAGGTGGAGAGAGAGATTGATTACTGAATCCTGCCTGGTTCATCGAGTCTACACTCAACATATGCAACAGGAATGACTCAATGCAAATACTAGGGATATGGAAGATATTATCACCACCAGTCAAATCAGAAGAGGGTAATAAATACTGTTAAAATGTATTCAATTCACATATATATTTTAACACTCTTACAAGTTATTTGCTCATTTTGACTATAAAAACACTCGTCTTATTTCCCATCTGATTGTATTTGATCAATAACACTAATATTATTATTATTTCTGAATGTACTTTATCTTATATTGATTTAACTCAAACGTCTAATCATCAATTTTTACTCATGTATTTAAATGAAGCAAGAAAGTTGTGTGAGTAGTGCTTTGATATGATTATGAGTGGCAATGATAAATTGTACTCGAAGCGTGGTCATCAGTAAATATTACTGTATAACACCACAGTGTGTGATTTTATGAAAATAAAATTTTATCCATAATGGAGTTATACTCTAC